GTGTGACCGAGAGCGATGGGAGGCAGAGGGCGAGTGTGTGGCGTGGAAATTCTTGCGCGCATGAGCGTATCTTTGGGCTTCTTGCCTCTGCGAAAAATAAGCGGATGGTCGTAATGTGTCCTAGGGGGTCGGTGAGACTGAGAGTACGTGCCAGTCAGTGGCGTAGCTAAGTTTTTTTCAGCGGGGGGGGGGGGCACTGGGGGGCCTTAATTTTCGTGGGGGGGGGGGCACAATATATAACGTTTCTTTGTATTATACTGTTCTAACGGCATTGCTTTTAATTCAATTTTTATTTTATCAAGCATGAAATTTTCAGTGGGGGGGGGCACCTGGGGGGGCACAGAAAATTTGTGGGGGGGCTCGTGCCCCCCCCCCCCCAGGCCCCCGTAGCTAGGCCCTGGTGCAGTGTATGAGGATGATCTGTTTGATAGGCGGGTTGCTGGGGTTGTAATCCATGTTAAAGAGAATCGTTTTTGCGTGTTCGCGATCCTAGTTTTGGGTTCTAGTAAGGTATTGCGCGAGCACTGCGCAGCTCTTTGGATAGACTTGTCTATCACTATCAGGCGTATCGCCCGTTTGAGTAAGAGTTGCTTGAACTCCTGGCATCGTGTTTGGAAACGCGTGTTGCTCGAGCGAATCGTTTCAGGACAGAGGAATTGCGCTAGTACGTGATGGATGTTGTCTGATGAGAGGGGCCTTGGATGATGCTGAATTCCTGTCCTCCTGAGTTTAAACTTAATTTGTAATTATGCCGCGATTTCTATAATTACTCTTTCCTCTTCCCTGTTCGACTGCACTGAGTCAGCTTGAGGGCGTGATCATTGGTTTCGGCATGTGGGCCATCTTCTGGATGCTGCTACCTTCTGTTCTGTCCATTCGGTGTTGAATTCTCTCTCTCATCTTTGTAAATTTGCAAATTTGCAACATTTTTGTCATGTGTTGATCTATCGATTTGATCCACTTCTCTCCCCGTCTTCGTTACAGTTCCTAGGACAATTTTGAAGACTAGATTATTTGAGGTTCATAGGGTTATCAAGGAGTGATGATTGAGATTCGTCTATGCCGAACTCCTTGGAGGTTATCATATCCGATTGGAGAACGTCATAAAGGAAGCCGAGAGTGGCGCTGTGGGCCCGCGTAACGTTGTTCCGACCGAGCATCGAAAATTTTGAAGCGGATTCTAACATAATGTAATATAGACGCGTAGAAGTGGATACTCCAGTGTAGACGATAACAGCGTAATAATATTACGTATGTTAATTTGCACGTTGGGGCATTATCTCACTACCATGTAGTAGGCAGTTGTTTTAACATCTGCATGAAAAGAAACACAATTATTCAGCGTAGAAGACGTGTCGATCGATGTCATGTCTCTACAGCGCCTTACTATGACTGTACTCTGTGAGGAAGTGTAGTGGTTGATGTTAGAGTTAATACAGGGTTCGTAGCGGGTCTTCCAAAGTCTTTATAAGTAACTTTATTTTGCCAAAACTAAAATAAGGGCCCTTTTATTAGTACTTATTTTTGGTGAAATCTTAGAAAGTACTTAATGAGTCCTTCTTTTTTGCAACCCACAATTATTTAATATAAATTGTTTTATAAACTGTTCTCGACTTAGAGTAAGATTGCTGATATATTAACAGCGGAATAATTAAATCTGGGCTGTTGCACTGTGTATATAAATATTATTAGTGTATTGAATGGTCGGTGGAATCTATGCAGAAATCACGTAAAAAAGTCGTTATTTTGGCTTCCAGAAGGGTCTTTATACGTTATTATTTTCACATGTGTCTTTACTACTAATGAAGCCTGTCCTACTGTTGGATAGCTCGAAAGAAACGGTAAATCGCTAGGGTTAGGTATATCCGTTAGTATGACCAATCCGTCGCACAGCCTGGTCGGGCTAAACTGTTGGAGAGCCTACTCGTTAGAGACCATGGCAGGCTCTTCCGATAGATACAATAATGTAACCAAACCCAAGAGGAATAGGGGTTAGCATTCCCCCTATCCGCCCGCTATCCTCTTGGTGTCTATTCCCCGCCTAAGGCTATCCTCTGGGTTTGGGTACATTATTGTATCCAGATGAGCGGGATACTAGAGAAGCGTTGCCGAAAAGGAGGTGTTGACCCGAAGTGCTGAGCGGCAGATCTTGCGCGCAGTTTCGCGGCACGGCGCACGCGACCGCGCGGGAACGTCCGTACGACAGTTATGGCACGCGGCTGCAGCTATGGATCCGTGCGCCGAATGCTTAGAACAACGCCAGGGGGGGGGGGGCGATACATAGTTGCCAGCGAACAGTCGCACAATTTTAGTGGGACACAGAGGGCAGACATTTGGGACGTGAAGCAGTGTTCAATTGTTATAAAAAACATAATGTTCTGTTCGTAACGGGCTAGCTGTGTCACGCGAAAATGACAGAAGACTGACGGAAATTTTCGGCGTTCGGCGATAACGACTTGCGCCAGTAATGGCATGGGCTGCAAGTACAAAGGTATATAGACTGGGACTCACTCCCGCCTCGATTACCCATCGAGTGACTAAGCTAAGGCCGAGAGGTGGAAGCGCGGTGCCAGTCTATGGGCTATAGGCGGCGGCGCAGGCGGCGGGCAGTGCTTTCCAACTCCGTACGAAGGCCTCGCCATTGGAACGTTGCAAAAACGTTGCAAGTGTTGCGCTGAAGCAGCCCTTTCGCATTTACTGGGCAAGGTTCGCGAACGGCGAGAATTCGTGCAGTCTTTGTGTGCTTTCGCATGAACAGCTCATTTACGAACAGAGACATTATGTTTTATAAGCAAGTGAATACTGTTGTTCAAGGAGAAAACAAAGATGGAAGCTGTTGAATGTGTATTCGTGCTGTGAAAGTTTCAAATGAAGTGGCGTCGACCGATATTTGGAGCAGCTTTCGCTACTGCGTATATATATTAGTGTACAGCGTGCACAGCGCGGCCGCGGAGCAATGGGCAGCCGCAGCGTACGTTTGACGTAGGATTTCGGGCGGAAT